GGGAAAAGTGGGCGTGGTTTGGGCGTGGTTCGAACATAACTCTCCGAAATCATAACTCTCCGAGATAACTCTCCACTTCATAACTCTCCGTTTAGCCGGTCCCCTTCGGAGTTCGGTCGCATATTGAGCTTAATCAATTTTTAAAGCAAACGTAATTAATGGAAAACGGCCTTTAAAGCCGGTTTTCCTCTAGGCGGAATTTTGCGCGTGGAGCGGAATTTTTCTTTGTCTTGTGATTTGTCGGGTGGAACTAATTAGAAAAGACAAAGAAAGATTCCGCTCCGCGCGCAAAATTCCGCCTAGTGGAAAACAGGCTTAACCCGTTGGCGTTTTGCATGGCGCGGCACGCCTTCAGCTGTAGGCCAAGTGTCTTAAATCCCTCTTTTTCTGTCTTTTCCTGTGTTTTCCTGTTTTTTTTTCGTAGTCGAGAAATCGAGTTTGCGTTAGCTCATCGCAGGCTCAGGGTGCAACGACTAAGCCAAAATGCCATCGATCCCCTCGGTTCCATGATTTACATAGTATAGTAATAAGTCCGTATTTATGTACGTAATAGCCGACTCATGCAGCCGACGAAAAATGCACCACAAGCATGGCATGAGTCGGCTATTACGTACATAAATATGTACGTAATAGCCGACTCATGCCATGCTTGTGGTGCATTTTTCGTTTATTAGCCCATACACTTGTACGCACGCGCACAATTCCGAACTCCAATGGCGGCTCTTCACAGAGTGATCAAACTATATTTTACACAGTTTCGTTGAATTTTCAAAGAATTGTGCCGGTTTCCTATGGATTTTACGTTGTGTCGTACTCTGGACTTTCTTGCGTGTTGAATTAATGTGTTTTTCTTTGTGTAACGACTCGAAAATTTAGACCCAGCGAATTTATACAATATATAGAAGGATATTTAAACAAGGACAAGTTAAAGGTTTGACAGTTTGACATTTTAATTAATAAACAACTATAAATATACGTCGTGGACTCGTAACATCCGTTGTGTACTTGTGTTAATTTTTGCATCGCACTCTGGACTTTCTTGCCTGTTGAATTAATGTTTTTCTTTTTGTATTAAATTAAACGACTCGAAAACCCCAAAATTTGATAAATTTGTACCCAGCGAATTTATACAATATATTGGAATATAAACAAGCTAGGACAAACTCTCCGAATTCCTTACGATAGTTTTAGTCAAATGTCGACAATATACCTTTAAATACATATATTAAAATCCGCGCAGTACTAGAATTAAGAGAATTAGCGTAGCGCTGGCCGCTTAGCCTGTGTACAGCCGTAAATTCTCACAGGTTATGGCCGCTGGGTGCGGAAATTTTAGTACTGCGCGAAATATAATCCGCGCGAAAAGCTTTGTGGTAGCTATACTAAAGATAAAGCGTGCTTTCAAAATACCAACAAGAACTAGAACCATTATTGTATGGTTCTCATTTGCTAGACTTGCCACAAGTCGACCTCGAAGAAACGCATTTCGTTCGAGGTCGACTTGTGGCAAGTCTACTCATTTGCCTAATACAATAACATTAGTTCGACGCGAATTTTAATACAAGTATGGTATCATATTTCATAATATAACAAACAATGTAAACGTACTAGCCATACATTTTGCCGAACATAACTTCGGCCCCTTTGGACATATCTTTTTCGTAATGATATTATTGGAACCAGAATCGAAAACACTATTTATAGTGTTATTTTCAAGCTTGTGTCTTGAGATTGTCATCTTTTATTTCGGTATTTACAGAATATTTATATTTTTAGCGCGGCCCATGGAACGCACATCAAAACAACGCGCTGTTTAGGAAAACCGGAAATCGATTCTGTAGGTCGGCATGATTTGCACGTGCATTGATCGAGCTATAAACGTGCGTGCGAGTAAAAACCCGATATTCTGAAAAATTCTAAACAAATATTCCTACTCTGTGCCGTATTCAAACGAAACTTTGTATATGAAAGCGCTTGAATACAAGATGTATTTTACTCACATTGACTCTGAGCAAATTCTGAAGAGTCACTAAAGAATACTAAAGCAGGGTGCATTGCCTGTTAATGGGTTAATAAGAGACATTGGCAGATGTGTTTGTTAACCCATTTACTGACAGTACTCTGCCACTAACAAGTAAAATCGTCTGGCGTTACAGTGTAAATTGGTCTGGCGTTAGCCAGAGTTAATACTAAAGTAGTGTGCATTGGCAGCTAATAGGTAATAGACCTTAATATCCACTTTTGACCCAATGGCTTCATTTTCATGTTGGCTATTTACTCGTATTCCGTGCACACAATTTAAGAATGAGTTTGTGAACGGGCTTAAATGATGAACGAGAAGGAAACATTGGGGATATAACCAAGAATTGTGTAGAAGTATAAATTTTTGCATAATTGCATTCAGTTCATACGCCAAAAAGGCAGCACTTTCCTTGCGATAGTAACTCCTAATTATTGACTTGCACCATTAACGTCTCCCGAAAAGGTCTTTTATTTTTTAAAAAAAAGTCCATAAAATTTGCTTGCGGTTTAAGATTTGTATTCCTGCCTTTTGCACCATAGCACGTATCTCGTTATTTTCAGGCCAGTGTGAACGCCTGAGCAGGCGTCTTGTTATACTTAAGCTACGGATACACGGGCAATACTTTTCTGGCGATGGCAATGCAATGGTGGTAAAATCGTTGCATTGCCGTCGCGAGAAAGAAATTACTTGTGTATCACGCTCTGCGACGGCAACGCAAAGCTGCGCGCAATCGTTGCCGAAATTTCAAATCATTTGATTTTCGAAATTGAGATCAAACTTAATAAGGGAAAGTACATTTATTATGCCGAGGGGGGGGGATGAAGATGTTAAGGGGGGGCACCGAAATATTTTCTGGCATTAAAGGGGGGGCTCTGAAAGTTCTTGATACACTGAAGGGGGGGGGGCTCTAAACTTTTCAAAGTTTTGACCCCAGCAAATTCAAGTTAGAATTTTGACATTTTCAGGTAAAATTTGCGTAATAAAGTAATTATTTTATTTTAATTTGTGAAATGATAACCATTTTTGTAAAATACAGTCAATTTACATGCAATTTGTTTGCGAAATTTGCTTTAGAAAATGCCAGAAATTCAGTCCTAGAGCTTCAAAAATGTAAAAATTTTCTGGGGGAAGGACCCCCAGACACCCCTTTTCTCCCAAAACTTAGTGTGAGAGTGCCAATCGATCACAAAAAGCTTTATTATAATTATTACGCGTATAATCCTCTGACATCCCCCCCCCCAAACGTCAGATGCTTTGCTACATCCCTGATGGTTGTATTTGAAACCGATTTCAGTTTTAAGATATCCTTAGTCTGCTCTTCTAAATGGATACATGAAATCACCTATAGCTTATTTTAAATTTTTTTGCGCCAGGTTTGTGAAGTAATTTACCCGCTAAAAAGTAGCAGTTCCAAAAACAAAAAAAGCATACGATTTGTAAGAATTACGATATGTTCTATGTTTATGGGATATTTAGTACAAACAGGATGAAAATTAAAGAAATTGAAGCATACTGGCACTTTTGCATGCATTTTTGACAGGCATGCAAAGAAATTTGCAACAGATGCCGGGAGATACGTTGGGCGGGGGCGACATTCTGTAAGGTTCCAGCACATTACCCTGATCCACAAAATCCTGGCCACTACATGAACGTGTTCAAGACTCCGACTACGCTGAATGATGGACAACAACAACCTGTTGATAATTTCACCCCTAGAGCCAATTCAAATTTTTTTTTTAAAGACGGTGCCATTTCATCTGGCGCTAGTGAGGTGAAAGAAGCAGAAGATCGGTAGTTTTGTTGAGGAGAAGCACATGCTTGAGTATATCAGACATCTTGAGGAACTGCAAATTGTATCTATAAGGGAGAATTCCGGATTGTCCCTTTCCTTCGATTCCGAATTCTAGAGGGGGGGGGGGCATTGAAAATTTTAAAAACTTGGAGGGGGGGGCATCGAAATTTACCATTAACCTCAACAGGGGCCCTGTAAAAATATGAGCTTTTTTCAAGACATCTTCATCCCCCTCCCTCGGTGTAATAAATGTACTTTCCCTAAAGACATTGAAAATGTTCATAGGTGGTTGACAGCTAACAAGCTCTCATTAAATATGAAAAAGAGTGAATTTATGATAATAGGATCAAGACGTCGCTTAGCTTCAATTGAAAATAGCCCAGTACTAACATTAGGGGGAAACAACATTAAGCGAGTTTACCAAAAAAAGTCACTAGGCATGATCCTTGACGACCAGCTAAAATGGAATAAACATAATGAAATGCAATGTAAAACAATTTCAAATAATATCGCCCTGCTGAAAAGAGCAACATTGTTTGTCAATAGAGATAGTCTGATAAAAATCTACAATGCCTTAGTGTGGCCTCATTTCAATTATTGTTCAACAATCTGGAATGATGGATGTTGTTCGATAATTGATAAATTGTTTATACTGCAGAAGAGAGCAGCGCGTGTGATAACAGGGGACACATACGAGGTTCGTTCCATGCAAACGCTAGATAGTCTTAATTGGCTTCCAATAGAAGAACTTCTAAAACAACGACAGTTAATAATGACATTTAAAGTACTAACTGGTCGATTACCTCGATACCTTGGAAAATTGTTTTCAGTAAGTCAAAATGACAATTACAATCTAAGAAGCAATCAAATTAAATTGAACCTACCCAAACCTAAGACAAATTTTCTCAAACGAAGTTTCTCGTATAGAGCTGCTAAGTCCTGGAACGAACTTCCAAGTGAAATTATTGAAAATTATAACAATCTTTCAATTTTGTCGTTTAAACGGCAATTACTTAATTCATCCGTATTAATTCATTGTAAATAGTTATATTCTTTTTGTCCTTTTTATATTATTGTTGTAAACACACGGCCCTTTGAAAACCAGCGCTGTAAATATTATCTGCTGAACAGGCTACCGTGTTTAAATAATTTTATTAAAGATTAAAGATTAAAGATTAAATGATTGCCGAAAATTGGGAGGTGTGGTCAAGGAAGGTCAAGGTTGATGAATGACACGTTTCTTGACCAGCCAATGAAAAGCGTTATGAAGACATATATTGCAGGTGAAATATGGGTAGGGGTAAAACGCGGAAACGGAACGCAACGGACCGGCGGAACCGGAATGACGGAACCGGAAAAGCGGAAACGGAAAAGAGGGTAAAACGCGGAAAAGAGGGTAAAACGCGGAAAAGAGGGTAAAACGCGGAAAAGAGGGTAAAACGCGGAAAAGAAGATAAAACGCGGAAAAGAGGGTAAAACGCGGAAAAGAGGGTAAAACGCGGAAAACAAACTTTGAAACCAAACTTTGATTTTGTTAACAAAATCAAATTTAATCTAATTAAATACCATAATAAAACGAAGTAAATGTACCTTATCACTGTACTTGAGTTCTATTTTTGAGAAGTCGGCATGTGACAAAGTAAACTTTCTTTGGAGTACTTTTACTTGGAACGAAATTGTTTAAAGAAATAACGTTTTACTTCGTTATTTTCATTATCTTGCGAAGTATTTTGTTACTTTCTAACTTTTGTTTAATTTTACGTGATGTATTCAGGATTTATTTTAATTTTGGGATAGGTAATAGGACCTCTACATGCGTCTGGATGGATTTCGTATATCTTCAACAGGATCTGGAGAGTACACCATGCCGTGAAATATTGTATATTAGGTGCACGCATATAATGCGTGTGTTGTTTTGTATGTCAATCCATTGGAGAAGTCCCCCCCCCCCCTTACACGCCAAAGACAATAGTACTTTTACTTTTTACTTCAAGTATTTTTTAAGGATACTTTGTAGTTTTACTTAAGTACGTTTTGCTTCCAGTACTTTTTACACTCATTCAAGTCGTTTTATTGTTAATTACTTCTACTTTTACTCGAGTACAAATTCAAAGTAATTTAGGTACCACTGGGTATAGTGGACATACTGCGTTTACTTTTGTCAGTAAAGCAAAGATGCCTTTTTCGCCTCAGAAGGAAGACCATTCCACTATACTTAAAACTTCGTTTAAGATAGTTTGTTTTAAGTTTTGGAAGTGCTAGATCAGTATAATTACTTCGAAGATTATATTCTCTATTAAGATCTTTAATTTTTATAAATTTTTCTCTAAGACTTGGAGCGGACTGCTCATTAAGAATTTTGTACATCAAAACGCTCTTCACCCAATGACGTCTTACATCGTATGCCCACCGACTAACAATCATACACCTACTATGTAAAGGCCGGTTTACACTATCAAAGTTACTGTGATCAAAGTGGTGTCATCTCGCCCAAGCAAACCTGTGACTTAAATACTTTTAAATTTAATTTGTGTTTTTGAAGGGTGTTACTGGTGCAAACTTCGTTAATAAAAGCATACTGCATGCGATGAGCACAAAAACGTTGATAGTGTAAATGCCAGACTCCACCCCCCCCCCTCCATGTGAAAAGTGAATCTGACATCGTGGGCAGTAGGGGCCGTATTTGTGTTCGCTTCGCCATTACTGGATAAGTATAGAGGTCAGTTATAATTCTCTCAAGTCTGTTATTTAAGAAATGCTGACTTGACGCCAACGGAACCGGATAATTTGAGAAAACACTTGCGGTTTGACAAAGAATACCACCTACGCAGTAATTGGCTAATCGCTTTCAGTGCGAATACCTTGCCACAGCCCATAGGCTTACTCGCTTTATAGATATAATCTATACTCTATGCCCTTCGTGGAAATCATAGTTGAAGGGACTAGTGTGTATAATTTTTAAATAAATATAGTTTTACCAAGCTACATACCTACCACGTAAAGAAAAAACTATTCTAAAACTTTTTTCCGCGTTTTACTCTCTTTTCCGCGTTTTACCCTCTTTTTCGTGTTTTACCCTCTTTTCCGTTTCCGCTTTTCCGGTTCCGCCATTCCGGTTCCGCCGGTCCGTTCCGTTTCCGCGTTTTACCCCTACCAGGTGAGATATTGCAGGTGTAGCCACCTTTTGCGACGGCAACACAACATAGACGGATTTTCATATTTTTTACTGGGGTGGTGCCAGAAATTTTAGGGGGGTGAGCCGTGAGCAGGTGACTAAAGCAACACAAAGTGTCAACAAACCCCAGTATAAGGTCTATTTTCTAGGGGTGGAGCCCTAGAGCTGCGAGGGGGAGTCTAGAAAGCAAAAGACAAAGTATCCTAGGAAAAATTTGAAAAAATCATGATTTCTAGCTTCAAAAAAAAGTTTTTTGAAGTTGTCAATTTGTCATATCAATTAATGGAGTTGGCATGTCCGATTGTCTGTTGAGACTTGAGTGAGTTAAACACTTACAGTTAAATGAACCTTTAAAGGCTCGTTTACACTTGCAAATTTTGCTGCGATTTTAGGTGCGATTTTCTTCTTCTGCTTGATGTGAACGAGTAGATAAGTCAATTTAGTCATGAATGTTCACATTGCTGTACATGTACTCTGAACATTCGCGACTCCTCTACTCGTTCACATGCATCAGAAGGAGAAAATCGCATTAGAAATCGCAGCAAAAATTGCAAGTGTAAACAGGCCTTAAAAGTGTAAACCCAGTAGGCCAATAGAAAATATGCTTTTACTTTTATAAAGTCATTGACATTGTGTTGTTTGAATTCGAGTACAATTTATGATGCAACTCCGATGTAAATAATCTTTGGGGCGTAAAGATTAAATCTAGGCAAGTTTATTTCCTAAAAGAAGTAAAACTAAAAGTAATGTTCCTTGCGTGCAAGCTATTCGCATGACAAGGCACTGCAAAGTCTATTCAGGAAAGATAATAGACTTTCAAAACTTTACAATTGCTCCAGTAAACCAGTGAATGCAAGCGAGGAGCGATTAGTTTCAGAGTGTTGCACTGTCTTTTTCTGTTCGAGTGTACTCCTACGTTTATTTTGTATCATCAACACTCTGCACGTTCGAGTGGACTATTTAATTATTTATTTATTATGCCGAATATTGGGGGGGGGGGTTGAAATTTTTTTTGGAGGGGTGGACATTTTGTTGGGGGGGTTATAGCTAATATGGGGGTAGCCCCCCTGAACCCCCCCCCCCAGAAAATCCGTCTATGGAACGCAATGCTGTTATCACCCATTGTGTAACCATCGCAGCAAAAATATTGCTCGTGTATCCGAAGCTTTAGGCAGCCAGCCAATGAAAATCGCTTTACTTGACAAGTGGACTGGCTAGAGAAAAATATATTTGGGGCTGCAAATCCAGTGTTGTGGACCAGTAAGATATATATCTCCAAGTTTACACGTTACAAAATCGTACACCTTCAAAAATATTAGGATCATGATATTTTTGTGTGTGTTTAAGTGCTTTGATGTTATGTACTCAGGTGAATAATCCAAGTGAGAATATATACATTTTAAGACCTAACCAGGAACGACTGCGAAAAATGCAGCACAAGGTCCTCTGGTAGGAATTGAACCTACGGCCCTGCGATTCCGGTGCAGCGCTCTAACCAACTGAGCTACAGAGGCCAGCTGTTAAGCTGTAACCGTAAGTTCATGTATATATAGGTAATCGGGTGTGCGGGTTGTGATAAGGTGGACTTCAATGATGGATTCTTGCACTTCACTTGGTGGAATTAATGTTAGAATGTTAGGGTTTGTAATCCAAGTGAGAATATATACATTTTAAGACTATGTACACACGGTAACGTTTTTGAGCGTTTTCATTTGTGTTTTCGCGCTAGAACGGATGCAAACACTATCAATTTGCAACAAAAGCTGTTGTTTATTTAATATATTGGAGATATTTTCCATTGGACCGTGTGAACAGGGCGTCAAAACGATTAAAGGGACGAAAACGTTTTTGAAAACGCTCGGAAACGACGCCCGTGTGCACATAGCCTAAGACCGTAGGTTCAAGGGCCTTAGGTTCAATTCCTACCAGAGGACCTTGTGCTGCATTTTTCGCAGTCGTTCCTAGTTAGGTCTTAAAATGTATATATTCTCACTTGGATTACAAACCCTAACATTCTAACATTAATTCCACCAAGTGAAGTGCAAGAATCCATCATTGAAGTCCACCTTATCACAACCCGCACACCCGATTACCTATATACACATGAACTTACGGTTACAGCTTTTTGCAGCTGGCCTCTGTAGCTCAGTTGGTTAGAGCGCTGCACCGGAATCGCAGGGCCGTAGGTTCAATTCCTACCAGAGGACCTTGTGCTGAATTTTTCGCAGTCGTTCCTGGTTAGGTCTTAAAATGTATATATTCTCACTTGGATTACAAACCCTAACATTCTAACATTAATTCCACCAAGTGAAATGCAAGAATCCATCACTCAGGTGAATATAATGTTTTTGATGTTTATACTCAAAGTAACATCAAAAACAAAATATTAGGGTCTTTAGGCAGTTGTACAACATATTATTTTTATTTCTAAAAACTCTGGCTTTATATCAGACGAGAAAATCATTGACAATGTGCAATGTCATTGTCAATGACATTGCACATAATTTTGACTCATTTTGTTGCCCGACTATAGAAAAAGTCCCAGGAGCATAACATCTTCCTCTTGACAACAATAGCTTGATTTCTAAACGTATAATATTAATCCGTCGTTTTGCTTTTGAAGGATTAGGGGAAAACAAAGCATAGTCATCACACCTACGCTAATGACTTGTTTTGCCGGTTCAAACTCTATTGACCAAGCGTCTCCATGCGTGAGATGAGCACCATTGATTCGGCGTCTGATTTGGCGTCGCTTCATTCTGCCCAGGATGTCAAACAAGAAGCTACGAAGTTTTCCTTCTATATGAACTATAGCTGTGACTGCAATGTGATATCATGTAAGTATGTATTTCTTCTTTCTAGCTTGTCATATTCAAATGGTTTATACTTCGATAGGGATTCGGCGAATAAGGATACGTTTCTAAACGTCCATGAAGATCATAGTGCGAAAACTTGCATTAGGACGATCGTATCGACCACAAAATTAGCTAGACGTCATGTCCGCATAGTTTCGAACACATCTTATTTGTTCGAACCACACCACAACGGGCGAAGAAAAACGTTTCCCATCCGTTGACAGAAACTACATTCTCGAACTACATATTATAATTCTTGTTTTATAGATTGACATACATTGATATTAATTTAACAATGTGATTGATTTCCTCGCTGAAATTGCTTAGCCGGGCGTTATCGCGAGTTACATTGCCATTGCATTGGTGGCCTCGAGTCTACATCGAAATTCAGGGCTGGTAAGTCATATCTTATAATATCTTAGAATACATTGATATCGAAGGAACTAGACTCAGTTCCGAAATATCGCCAACTCGAACCGACTTGACCGCGTAGCTCAGTTGGTAGAGCATTGGACTGGTATCGCAAAGGTCGCGGGTTCGATTCCCATCGTGGTCAGGCAAACGTTTCATCTTGCCCGGTGCCGATGCACACTCAGAGTAACATCACAAACAGCATATAAATATATATTCAAATTTTAATTCCCAAGTAAAAAGTTTGGACAAAATCAATAATACTTTGCGAATTGCGGGTGGTTATTGATATATTCTAGGTTTTATAACGATTAATGCTATACGTGTCAGTTATTTTTCTCGTGGGTATAGACTGCAGTTTATAGTGGACACTAGAGAGTTTAAACTTCGCGTTATACGTCAAACGGCAAAGAAGAATTTTTACGGTATCAGGCAATAACTATACAGTAAATGAATTTCCTGTTTTAAAACTGCAATTGATGATTATTCTTTCGACACAACTCACAAGAAAGAAAATACGAAACGAAAATGTTCGACGAAAATTTTACCAAGAAAGTTCGAACCTGCCGTTTGCCGTTCCCGGCCGGAAATGTGACTTAGCTTAAACTCCCTATTAGCTAGTGTGTTGCTGATCGTGGGGGCGTACCAATTGCCGACAAACCGTCAAATACCGACAACAGCTCCATATCGAGTGCGGCCATTTTCTCTTAGTCGATGTATGTAATGTTTTGGGGAACAGAATCCTTAAATTTTACTAAAACATCACTCAGTATAATTTCTCTAGAGTTATAAATCTATACGTACCTCAGTTCGAAAGTGACTATACTGAATAATAGTGCTGTGCAAACTCCGGTTTTTCATCTCCGGCTCCGGCCGAATTATAGCTCTGAGCTCCGGCTCCGGCCACATCATAAAATATTAAATAAATGTTTTACGATCAGAGAACATTTGTTAATATTATTATGAATAACCCTTTTCGCGCTTCCTAATTATCAGATAACATAACTCAGGAAACAAAACAGTGAAAACACTTAATTAACCACGCAGAAAATATCTATATGGAAACCAGCCTCGAAAATTTTTTTTGGCATGACGCGAGGCATGACGCTAGGCATGACGCTAACACTCTCAGACTCCACAGCGCAATTGTTCGCACGCAAACAAAGTACTCTGTCATTTTCAAAAGGTTGATATTTATTTGTTTTGTACTTTTTCGTTATCTACAAGGCATGAATACACAGACTATGTAGCGCCAAGTCAGATGGCTTTATGAAAGCATGGCGTTTATAATTTGCGATCGTATTACAGATTTTCGACGCTGTTCCTGTGGGCTGTGGCAGTTTGAGTCTATGATGAATTCATTAACAGCAATTGGCAGTTTGCAGTAACTAACAATCGTTTGACATTTGTCTCATTTCAATTGTTTTCTTGTCATTTTGCCGGAGTTGGGAAAATGTAACTCCGGCTCCGGGCTCCGGCATACAAAATTCTGCTCCGGCTCCGCCGTCGGAAAAACCGCCGGAGCTCCGGCAGAACTCCGGCTGCGGCAACTCCGGCGCACAGCACTATACAGAAGGCCGACTCAAGTAAACGCTTCCACGCCATGCTTCATCATCAAAATGCTGACGCCATGGTCCTAGTCAGTGCGCGTTTGTGAGGCATTAGGGAGCTTTAGCAGCGACCACGAGTATACGACTACGAGTACGAGATTCGTCAAGCGAAACGCATGCTGTATGCTTACGCCATCCCGTACTGACGCGAAAAAGTCGTAGCCGTCGCCCATCTGAGTACGAAATTGTGGAGAAACCTCGTAGTCCTCACCACGACTTTTCAAAAAAAAACAAGAAAGTTGGCTTTTTTTTGTTTTTCAAAAATAATTTGTTGCGTTCTTCCGGCGCAAATAATCTATTAGTATTAAATATCTTGCTTGTTTTTAATGTTATGATTTATTTGCACATTTTGTAAGGGATTTTGGCCTGCAGGAGATTTAGTTTATATAAACTTTTTCTTTCGTTGTTTGTCTATTAATATAAAAGCAACATTTGAACGGGGACGAGAACGACCACGGTGATTTCCTCGCACGCGATCAAATCTCGTACTCGTAGTCCTCCTTATTCCCCTCTGGACGTCCGCCATTTTGAATATTATCAGGGGGGTGAATGCCTCTCAAACGCGCACTGGCTGGACCATGGCGTCAGCATTTTGCCGATGACGAATTACGGTTACGCCAAAATCATTGGGAAATCATAGGAAAAACCAAGACGTCGGGCTTCTGTATGACTTATTCTGTGACGATATTTTTTGTACAAAAATAACAAAACTGCAAAAAAGAAATGAAACTTGAACACTTTTGACCACATAACTATCAATTTCTATAATTATATAAAAAAGTAGGTATGTTATTTTGCATTCTGTGGGCTTTATTTGTAAATATTGTATTGTATTTCTATTTTTTTTTTCATTAAATTTGTCCTTTTGTATAGGTAATAGTATGGTTTCGAGTGCAATTTGGAAAAGAAACATACACGAGTGAATTTTTCAAAGGCTATCGAGTCCGAAGGACGAGTGCAATTTGAAGTCTTTGAAAAATTCACGAGTGTATAGTATGTTTTTCTCAAATTGCACGAGAAAGCATACTCAGATTATATAGAGAATAATACATGCATGGGTGTGCGGAAATACCATCAGATTTATTTCGAGTGTTGAACATGATATCTCACGAGTGAGCGCAGCGAACGAGTGAGATATCATGTTCAACACGAGAAATAAACCTGGTATTTCCAAGCACGCACTTTTTCCCTGCTTTCTTTCAAATTCTTGCCTTCTAGTTCACTCCTGGCAAACATATTTTGAGATTAGTGAGATGACCATGCACCCATGAACTGATGAACCATAGTCACGCTCCCGCGGTTATTAATGAACTTTATAGTTGCAAATAGCCGCAGGCGGAATTATAGTAACCTCGTCCCGGGTTTTATACGCCCGGAGCTCAGCTTTAAATATGTATTTTCTGCTTTGTAGGTGACTCCTTGTATAGTGTGAAGCTATCGATAAAACGCAAACCCATACAGTATTCATATATTAAGAAGAAATCTGCAGTGCAACAAATGTGATAACATTTACCCGGCTAACGAAACTGATGCAATCCTAAAACCTGGATTAATGTCATCCAGTCTATTCAGTGCCTAATTCAAAGCAAAGGAATAGGTATGTTTGTAGCTACTTTGCTTTTTATATTTCTGAAATACTGTTCTTATCTTGTTGGATAGCGCGCCTTGAAGTTTCCTTTCAAAAAGTGACTATTCCTATTGTTTTACTTTTAATAATGCCTTAACAATCTCACCAAACATTGTTTTACATGCAGTACATGAGGAGATAATTTTCGCCAATATTTTCAATTTTTCACTTCCAAATACCGAAAATTTAGAGCATATTCATTACAACTGCATGAGTTTCAATTCGACCTTTGACGTGGTAAAATTAGGTAATCGTTGTTTCGCGCACCAATATAGTAAACGTAATGTAATGTAATGGATATTATAGTGTACTGAAAAGTTAACTGGATACCTCCATACACATATATACACACCCCAGGGATGCCGGAACCACGGGTGCAGCGGGTGCAAGTGCACCCCTTGCCTTCAGCATTTACCTAACCCTATTACCTATATTGGTGCTCGAAACATTGAACGATAACCTGAAGTTAAACATTCAAATAGGGTCAACTATACAATTAATATGATAAAATCCGATAAAATTCGTGCGTCGAAACGGTGACGCATTTTTCTGATTAGACGGGATTTTATAGAATAATTCAATTAACTACGTATGTTTTCAAAGGGACTAAATACTAGTGAAAAGCGAATTTCATTGAATAATACTAGCTGCAGCATGCATGCACAGCTTCTTTACTGCGGAACGTTATAAGAATGAGAAAAATATTGATATATACGATCGCAATGGACCAATCCCCAATTAACCAAAATTTTGAACTCAACAAGTCTAGACAAAAATTTCATCACAGCTTGCATGAAAGAGCATCACAAAATTAGTAATATTCCAAAGTTGCGTTTTAAAATGTTGTAAAATTTTGTGATGCTCTTTCATGCTGTGATGAAATTTTGTCTAGACTTGTTGAGTTCAAAATTTTGGTTAATTGGGGATTGGTCCAATGCATTGCGAATATGAAAAGCTAAGTTATATAGTAAATAGGCTAGTTTATAGTCTCATGAATTCATTAGTCCAAATTGTATTGACTACTGTGATATATTTATATAGTAATATCTACATTTACTATCAATATAAACTAAGTTTTTAAAAAAGATTGTTCCAACTAATTTTATTAAAATTAAACAAGTTAATTTAATTTAAGAAACTTCCGCATACAATGTCCGCAATGAATAGGAAAGACTTGAACAACAAAACAAAATCTATTTCAACCTCCGTCGCAGGGACTTAGAATCTATTTATTAAGACAAGGTCATATATAAACAGTCGAAAGAACTTGCTGAGCCCTATATACTTTAGGATTTCCAGTCATACTAAATCAATTCTTAATTAATGTTTATTATTCAAAAATAGAAAAAAATGTTTTACAATTTATTATGTGAAACGATTTTCCAAGTTTTCTTACATGTTTTTAAATTTTTGCCTCTTCACTCCTGGCAAACATATTTTGAGATCAGTGAGATGACCATGCACCCATGAACCATAGTCAACGCGCCCGTGGTTATTGATGAACTTTAGACTTCGCTAATGCTTTCCTTTCCTTTCCCTGGGTGTAAATAGCCGGGCGGAATTGTAGTACCCTCGCCCCGGGCTTACACCCGGAACTCAGCTTTAAATATGTATTTTTCTGCTTTGTACTAGGTGACTCCTTGCGGTGTGAAGCTATCGATAAAACGCAAACCAATACAATACTCATATCTTAAGAAGAAATCTGCAGTGCAACAAATGTGATACAATTTACGCGGCAAACGGAACTGATGCAATCCTAAAACCTGGAATGTCGTACTGTCTATTGCCTAATTCAAAGCAAAGGAATAGGTATGTTTGTAGCTACTTTGCTTTTCATCTTTCTGAAATACCGTTCTTATCTTGTTGGATAGCGCGCCTTTTCAAAAAGTGACTATTCCTATTGTTTTACTTTTAATAATGCCTTAAAAATCTCTCCAAACATTGTTGTTCACGCAGTGCATGAGGAGATAATTTCCGCCAAATTTTCACGGTTTCAATTCGACTTTTGACGTGGTAAAATTATTCATTCAAATGTCAATTACAATTATAATATGATAAAATTCGTGCGTCGAAACGGTGACGCATTTTTCTGATTGGACGGGATTTTATAGAATAATTCAATTAACTACGTATGTCTTCAAAGGGACTAAATACTAGTGAAAAACGAATTTCATTGAATAATACTAGCTGCAGCATGCATGCACAGCTTCTTTACTGCGGAACGTTAGAATGAGAAAAATATTGATATATTGATCACAATTGCATTGCGAATATGAAAAGCTAAATTATATATAGTAAATAGTTTATAGTCTCATGAATTCATTAGTCCAAATTAACTGTCATATATTTATATAGTATACATCTACATTTACTATCAATATAAACTAACTTTAAAAAAATTTATACCAGCTAATTTTATATATTATATATAAAAGACTCCTATAATTGGTTAAACTTTAGTTTGTTTATAACATACTGCATAACCTCAATCTCGTTCCCCGAGCCTGCGATCCTCGGGAAGGAACGTGAGGCTCTGGGATAATCCGTTTCAGGGAGGAATCTGATTGGCCGTTTATATGGAATGCACAGTTCGATCTTAGCCAGGATTCCTGGCCTCCGGCAACGGATTATCCCAGAGCCTCACGTTCCTTCCCGAGGATCGCAGGCTCGGGGAACGAGATTGGCATAACCTGATCCATATAAAAACTCGTCTAGACTATAAGGTCTGGAAACGGCCTACAATATATCACGCGCTCTAAAAGTACAACGCAAGCCGAGTTGGTACTTGGTGCAGTCCAACTCTATATCGGAACGAGCAATAAATTTGTCCATAAAATCGAATAGTAAAACTGAAACAATGAAACATGCGAAATTTTGCCTACTGCTGTACAGAGAAAATTTGAATAGGCAAGTTCATGGCAATCGACTTTTTTTATTTGATTTGCTTCATAAAAATTGTCACCTATAATATCCAATTTTCTAAAGTGAGGATCCTTAACCGCTAAACAAACATTTGAGTCCTTTGATAAAGTACTTAGACTGCGTTCAGACTGAGTGCCCGGCACTGGTGCCCAACATTCAAAATGGTTCACAAAACATGGTGAGCACAGTGCCGTTGTTGAGTACTACCTCTAGAGGTAGTGCCCTTTCTTGGGCACTGTGCCCAATGTCATTTGGAAGCATCATGTTCAAACTAGGCGCCAAAACAAGTGCCGGGCACCCAGTCTGGACGCAGCCTCAGTGCCCAAATGTTTTCCTTAACCATAACCGGAATTTCCAAGCAGTCTCATTGTTTCTGCATGTTATAATGGAAGTAGAAGGATCGTGGTTATATACATCATCCGCACGCAAAGTCGGCGAAACAACTTTTTGGCATGTACTCTGCAACTTAAATTTTTGGAACTTGTAAACCATGTTCAACAACACGCGTAAAAGAGGTGTTGCCGATTAGCAAAATTGTACTACTGCCATGTAGACCCTGTCTTTCTTTTTTACTTAACCTTTTTTCAAGAATATTTTGCATGTGCTTGCATGCAATAGTCTCAACATTTTTAGTTAAAAATTATAGGGACATTTAGGAAAACTGTTTTTATTAACTGGAACCCTTCTATTGTGCACAATCAACAACGCCAAACATTTGTCCGTTTTTTATCATGGACGTATATGTAAATTTTCACAGCATAACCTAAAATTATAAATGGACTCTATAATCCATATTTCATACTCAAAAAAAAATATGGAGGAGTCACAATCTTTGAAAATCAAATTTATCTTGAAAATCTGTATCCGGGACACATTGATACTGGAATGTGACACCCACAAAGTTGTCGTTTCATCACAACTGCACAGTGGAAACTTGTTCGGTTTGAACTTCTCAGCGATTTTCGATTCGTAAGCGGTTATTATTTTGCTGGCATTATACGCAGCTTCAAACTCGTCTGCTATAACTTTGTAGTTGTTCAAGGCAAAGGTATAAAATGCTCTTAATTTGTTAATTTCATCTTTCCTCCTTTCTCTGAATCGCTTTGACGATTTCGCAGCGCGTTGCTTTCAGTCCATGGATGGTGGATATCACAGAAACCCATGTCAAAGTAGTCCCTTCGACAAGTAGTCCCTTCAAAGTAGTCCCTTCGTTATCAGACGCGGACACGAATAGCCATTCCCCAAAGCACGCAGAGTGTACTAGATGTTCACATCACGGTGTCTCCGTCAGCATACTTTCATTTCTGTTGATGTTTTTTGGGCAAAAATGGCAGGTCTCATTTTCTCTTGCTGCATCTTCTAACGTTGCTAGAATCCCAAACAGACTGGCGAATTTTTATTTTGAAACCGATGAAAAGTGGTTTAAGTTGCGTTGTTGGCTGATCAAATTTATAAAATAAAATAGCAAGAAACACAAAAACAAAACAAAAAAATTCAATCTAGGAAAAATTCAAGGATTCAATCTTAGGATTCAATGATTCAATCTTAGGATTCAATGATTCAATCTAGGATTTAATGATTCAATCTTAGGATTCAATGATTGTATAGATGTCCACAACACGGTGTTTCCGTCACCGTACTTTCATTTCTGTTGACGTATGTCAGGAAAAAATGGCAGATCTCATTTTCTCTTGCTTCATCTTCTAACGTTGCTAGAATTCCAAACAGACTGAACCTTCTTGACGAGAGAGAACAGTCTGGCGCTGGTTGAATTCCAACATATTCCATCTTGAGTTTAGCTTGGTCTTCCAAAGTTGCGTTTATTGACATATTTGACAACTTTCATTCTGGTTGGTCTTTGGTGAGTGTCACACACCGGTTGAATTTTTTTTGTTTTAGTCTTTAAGACTTTCGCATCCATAGTCCATAGGCTTCGACCTCTACTTTGGGGCAATGTTGGTACGCGTTGTTCTCGATGTGGTTGCCACATGTTTCCAGCCATATAAGTTGATCAAATAGTTTTTCGGCTTTAGGGAAACCAAAGCATTCCAGATTTACGTTGGGGATATTAAGTTTTGCCAACATATCCTTTTCATAATGCCCTCCTTTGTATGCAAATGTCGAGTCTGGGTTTTTACGGGTTTCAATGTGGAAATTCTCTACTATTGCCTCCAATTCTGAAATTTGGAATTCTTTGGTACCCCGTGGCACATCGAACGGCAGTTTATGGATTCGCTTTTGAACATAACTGCATGTCTGTCGGTCTTTATGAGTGAGATCGCCCTATCGTAGGTTGATATCAAAGAAGAAGGAGTTCGCTACAGTGTTGCCAACTTTTAAAAGACCCATCTCCTTACAAAGGAACCTGTTTTGAATTTGATATCCGGCCATATTGATTATCGCAAAAATCTCCGATATTTTGCAAGCCATGGTGATCAATATGAATGTATTGTTGGCCTGCTTTTATATATAATTTTGCATTGCTAATCATATCTATATGAACCTGCACGTTTAGTCCCATCACCCACGCACTTGCTAAAAACTTAATTACAGGCGGTGTCTTTCTTAGGGCGGTAAAATTTGAAAAACACACGAGTGGAAAGGGGTTGAATGTTCGTCAGAGGAATGATGAAGAACTTGCTTGACTCCCATCTCTTGTTAAAATGTCGCGCACGGGACTATTTTTTGTCCTGGGTGTCCCTGAACACCTCTGAGGGACACTTTGTGTCCCTGGGGGACGTTTTGTCCCGCACGGGACTTTTGTTTGTCCTGGGTGTCCCTGAAACTCTGCATGGGAAAAGGATCCACAAGTAAAGTGATTTCTAATATCGAGAAACTTTAAGTGAAATGTTTTGAGACACATATGGTTATTGTTTCTCTTTATCACAAATTATGGAATGGAATTCCTATAGATAAACACATGGACATAGTCCTAACACAACAGCTCAGTGCAAATAGTATGGGTCTTAGTTGGAAATATTTACTTTTTTCGAATGGAAACTTACACCGGGAAAGCCACACTAGCGAATTTTTATTTTGAAACCGATGAAAGGTGGTTTAAGTTATGTTGTTGGCTGATCAAATTTATAAAATAAAATAGCAAGAAACACAAAAACAAAACAAAAAATTCATTCTAGGAAAAATTCAATGATTCAATCTTAGGATTCAATGATTCAATCTTAGAATTCAATTATTCAATCTAGGATTCAATGATTCAATCTTAGAATTCAATGATTCAATCTAGGATTCAATGATTCAATCTTAGGATTCAATGATTCAATCTTAGGATTCAATGAGTCAATCTTATGATGTAATGAATCAATCTTAGGATCCAATGAGTCAATCTTAGAATTCAATGATTCAATCTTAGGATTCAATGATTCAATCTAGGATTCAATGATTCAATCTTAGGATTCAATGATTCAATCTTAGGATTCAATGAGTCAATCTTATGATGTAATGAATCAATCTTAGGATCCAATGAGTCAATCTTAGAATTCAATGATTCAATCTTAGGATTCAATGATTCAATCTAGGATTCAATGATTCAATCTTAGGATTCAATGATTCAATCTTAGGATTCAATGAGTCAATCTTATGATGTAATGAATCAATCTTAGGATCCAATGAGTCAATCTTAGAATTCAATGATTCAATCTTAGGATTCAATGATTCAATCTAGGATTCAATGATTCAATCTTAGGATTCAATGATTCAATCTTAGGATTCAATGAGTCAATCTTATGATGTAATGAATCAATCTTAGGATCCAATGAGTCAATCTTAGAATTCAATGATTCAATCTTAGGATTCAATGATTCAATCTAGGATTCAATGATTCAATCTTAGGATTCAATGATTCAATCTTAGGATTCAATGAGTCAATCTTATGATGTAATGAATCAATCTTAGGATCCAATGAGTCAATCTTAG